TATCACCACTCAACACCACACTACACTACTCAACACCACACCATCACCACACTATACCACACCATCACCACTCAACACCACACTACACTACTCATCACCGCACCATCACCGCACTATACCACACCATCACCACACTATACCACACTATCACCACTCAACACCACACTACACTACTCAACACCACACCATCACCACACTACACCACACTACAAAACACATCACCACTCAACACCACACTACACTACTCAACACCACACCATCACCACCCAACACCACACCATCACCACACCACCAACACTGGTGTAGTCAACTGATTTCATTCAATTATCGGTGTTTGGGCTCTATCAGACCCCGCTTTGGAGACCCAACTTCGTTATTGGGCCCTACCCCCCCCCCCCCCCCCCCCCGCCCTTAACGTGTATATCTCATCCGCTCTAAAAATCTGTCAATTTTTAGTCTTCGTTCATCTGGCGATCACCGCTCTCTCCTCCTCTGTTGACCCTGCGTTTTTCCCTTCCTCTCATTCTCTATTATCTCTCCCCTCTCCCTTTCCCGTTATCCGTCTTCCTCTCCCTTCTTTATCGCTTCTCTTCACCGTTCTGTCATGGTGTCTTTAGTCCTCCCTCAGTCTCTTCCTTTCTCCTCTCCTTTCCTTATTTTGGAGATGAAGAGCTGGTCGACAAATGTGCACCAGGCCGTGACTCCCTACAGTGGTAAACGAGCGGGGATATCGCATTACTTCAGGGTAATTGAGTGCTCGAGTGCCACTAATCTCAGCTGCTGCACTCTGGGAGGCCAGTTCATGATAACCAGAGACAGCCGTAAGGGGCGTGATATCTTATACTCCCCCCTTCCCCCGCCCCGCGAGTCTGATGGCTCCCCGTGCTCTCTAAGCCTCCAGTCACCCTGCTGCTTGATCTTCTGACATATCAGAAGAGCGAGACGTCCTGGCCACTCGAAGGAGCTCTCTGAGTGGCTGGAAATTCACGACGCTGCCTTTACCTGGTTCTGTGGAGGGGGGGGGGTCTTGGGGACCTGGTTCTGTGGAGGGGGTCTTGGGGACCTGGTTCTGTGGAGGGGGTCTTGGGGACCTGGTTCTGTGGAGGGGGTCTTGGGGACCTGGTTCTGTGGAGGGGTCTTGGGGACCTGGTTCTGTGGAGGGGGTCTTGGGGACCTGGTTCTGTGGAGGGGGTCTTGGGGACCTGGTTCTGTGGAGGGGGTCTTGGGGACCTGGTTCTGTGGAGGGGGTCTTGGGGACCTTGTTCTGTGGAGGAGGTCTTGGGACCTGGTTCTGTGGAGGGGTCTTGGGGACCTGGTTCTGTGGAGGGGGTCTTGGGGACCTGGTTCTGTGGAGGGGTCTTGGGGACCTGGTTCTGTGGAGGGGGTCTTGGGACCTGGTTCTGTGGAGGGGGTCTTGGGGACCTGGTTCTGTGGAGGGGGTCTTGGGGACCTTGTTCTGTGAAGGAGGTCTTGGGGACCTGGTTCTGTGGAGGGGGTCTTGATGTCTTGGGCGGCTTCTCGTTTATTTCCGTTTCCAAACTTTTCAACGAAATTGAGAGCGACTTCTTCTCTGTGGAACTCGACAGTACTTGACTCATCTGAGATCACATGGACTGTTACAGGTGTGTGTGTGTGGGTGTGTACTCACCTATTTGCTGTGTGTGTGTGTGTGTGTGTGTGTTACTAGTTGTGTTTACTAGTTGTGTTTTGCGGGGGTTGAGCTTTGCTCTTTGGGCCCGCCTCTCAACTGTCAATCAACTGTTTACTAACTACTTTTTTTTTTTCCCCACACCACACACACACCCCAGGAAGCAGCCCGTGACAGCTGACTAACTCCCAGGTACCTATTTACTGCTAGGTAACAGGGGCACTTAGGGTGAAAGAAACTTTGCCCATTTGTTTCTGCCCCGTGCGGGAATCGAACCCGCGCCACAGAATTACGAATCCTGCGCGCTATCCACCAGGCTACGAGGCCCCCACCGTGTGTGTGTGTGTCTGTGTCTGTGTATATATGTGTGTATGTATTCACCTAGTTGTGCTTGCGGGGGTTGAGCTCTGCTCTTTCGGCCCGCCTCTCAACTGTTTCTAATTACTACTACTATTTTTCCCCCCCACCACACACACCACAGGAAACAGCCCGTAACAGCCGGTGAAACTCTGCCTATTGTTTCTCGCCTGCACCCGGGAGTTCGAACTCGGGACCACAGGATCACGTGTCCAGCGTGCTGTCCGCTCGGCCACCGCCCCCCCCCCCAAACACACACACACACACACGCACACACTTGAGTGTGTGTATACTCACCTATTTGTTTCTGCAATATCGAGCATTGACTCTTGGATCCCGCCTTTCGACCATCGGATGTTTACAGCAATGACTCCGGTCCTATTTCCCTATCATACCTAATTTTAAAATTAGGTATGATAGGGAAATCATAATCCTTGTTGCCACTTCCAAGAGTTTAGCTCTCCATGTGTCTGCACCACCATGTGGGTCCCCATTCTCCCAGTCTATCTTTCCATGGTTGAAATCACCCATGATTAAGAGTCTTGAGCCATTCCTGCAGGCAACTGAAGCTGCTTTCTCTATTATATTATTGGTTGCCATGTTGTTCCTATCAAACTCCAGTCTGGGCCTTCTGGTGTGTGTGTATGTGTGTGTGTGTGTGTGTGTGTGTGTGTGTGTGTGTGTGTGTGTGTGAGTGTGTGTGTGTGTGTGTGTGTGTGTGTGTGTGTGGTGTGTGTGTGTGTGTGTGTGTGTGTGTGTGTGTGTGTGTACTAAATAAATAATAATAAATCCTAAAAGAACGAGGGGACATGGGTGGAAGCTGGAAACTCAGATGAGTCACAGAGATGTTAGGAAGTTATCTTTTAGCGTGAGAGTAGTGGGAAAATGGAATGCACTTAAGGAGCAGGTTGTGGAAGCAAATTCTATTCATAATTTTAAAACCAGGTATGATAGGGAAATAGGACCGGAGTCATTGCTGTAAACAACCGATGATCAAAAGGCGGGATCCAAGAGTCAGTGCTCGAGCCTGCAGGCACAAATAGGTGAGTACAAATAGATGAGAACTCACACACACACACACACGACTCTCACAAGGGGCACACAAATCTTACAGGGGTCTGGTAGTTGAGTGGACAGCGCGCAGGACTCGTAATTCTGTGCCCCGGGTTCGATTCCTGGACCAGGCTGAAACAAATGGGTAAAGTTTCTTTCACCCTGGATGCCCCTGTTATCTAGCAGTAAATAGGTACCTGTGAGTTAGTCAGCTGTTACGGAGCTGCTACCTGTATGTGTGTGTGTGTGTAAAAAAATTAGTTAGTAGTTAGTAACAGTTAATTGACAGTTGAGAGGCGGGCCGAAAGAGCAGAGCTCTACCTCCGCAAGCACAACTAGGTGAATACAACTAGGTGAATCCACACACACACACACACACACACACACAACCCACCACCCCATAGGAGCCCTCCACCCCCACCCCCAACAACAAATCCCTCCTTGCCCCTACACAATGTCCACCACACCACCCAAATCCACCCTCCCTCCTTCCCTACCCCGAGTTTCCCCTGCCTTCCCATCCCCTGATCTTCCTCCTGCCCCAAGCAGGCTCAGGGCAAGATCTAAGTCATCCATCCCCCTCACCCCCCCCCCCCCCCCTCCAAATCCCTGTTAACTACACCACAGGAGGACGAGCGCTCACCCTGAGTGCTCCCGGCCCCCTAGCCTCGAGCTCTCCCTGCCCCTCCACCCTTAGGAATTCTCCCTGTCTCAAGCAGCCCTGGGCAATTTCTAAGCTCCCCCCACCCCCACCACCCCCCGAACCCCTGGTAACTACCTACAGGAGGATGAGCCTACCCAAGTAACTATGCCCATGGAACAGCTTCCTGCACTAGTGGGGAGAGTGGGTGAAAATGGATATAGGAAAGTGAGCTTCAAGGTACTCAAACATCGATGGCATTACCAATAAAGCAAGTGAACTGGCACAAAGAGCGCAGGAAGAAAAACCAGATATAACAGGACTCACAGAAACAAAATTGGCAGAGATCATAACAAAGCTGGGACGTCTAGCTCTTGAGTTGTGTCGTATTTTGTGGTTTATTGATTACTAATGTATATGTAAGAGTAATGGTGTTCTTATAGTGGATGAGGCTACCGAGGCACATCAGTTGTGGAAGGTGACTTGGTGTTGAGATAAGGTATCTGAGGATAGTAGGTGATTGTTGTTGTGTTGTAGTGTGTTACTGATGCCTCTCCCACTGTCTCTTAATGTATGACACCACCGACCTCTTACTTGGGTTAGTGTATCACTGCGCCGGGTTGGAGTCTAGTGTCACCTAGTACCCGAGAGTGTGCAGTTAATGCCTGTTTATGATTACGATAGCTGTGTTGAAGCTCCTTGATGTGATTACGATAGCTGTGTTGAAGCTCCTTGTTGTGATTACGATAGCTGTGTTGAAGCTCCTTGTTGTGATTACGATAGCTGTGTTGAAGCTCCTTGTTGTGATTAGAGTATCAGTTGTTGAGACTTTAGTTTCTCATTGTTTTACGGTGACCTGTTTTATGTCCCAGTAAATTGGCGTTGTTTTAACTAGCATTTTTCACTTTACCCTCGACACACTCTGAAACTTGGCCAGGCTATGGTTGGCCAGCGATGCTGTGGATCATGAGGTCACGACACACACACACACGTACACACACACGCCCACCCACCCACACACCCACACACACACACCACACATAACACCCACCCACACACCCAAACACCACACACACGTACACCCACACACACACACACCCACACACACACACACCCACACCCACACACACACACACACACACACACACACACACACACACACACACACACACACACACACACACACACACACACACACACACACACACACACACCCACACACACACACACAAACACACGCCCACACACCCAAACACCACACACACGTACACACCCACACACACACAAGCAGTAAACACTTACCCTGCCGAAGTACATAACACTCTCCAAAAGCATCCCATACATGTTGGAGAGTGTTGGTGTTGTTAGCAGTGTTGGCTGCTGCCCGAGTGTCTGCTGCTCCTCTCTCTCTACCGCACCTGCTACAGTTACTGCTGACTGTCCCTCCTGCTAGTTCCGCTTATAACCAGGTGACGCTCCTGCTGCTGTTGGTACTAACAGTGTGTAAGACAAGCGCTGGTCGAGCATTGTTGCTCTTGTTCACTTCACTATCACCATCATCATCACCACTATCATCATCAACACCATCACAATTCTTCTCACCTTCCCATTTTCTTGAGAAGTCTTCCTATATTCATAAGTAATTCTCTCCCGGAAACCACTTGTTGAGAGCTGACAGGCGCTGTTAACTTGTAGCTGATTGTTAACTTGTAGCTGACTGTGTAAACTTGTCGCTGGCTGAACTAACTTTGCATCAAGGAGCAGTTCATAAAAGCTCTTAATACAGAAACTTAACTAATCAGCTTTTTCACTGTTCTCTTGCTTAGTAAAGCTCAGGGCTCAGGGCTACTGCTGCCTGCAGGGTCAGGGTGTGTAGTGAAGCTCAGGGCTTCTCCTACGTTCATCCGGCTTCCTTGAAGTGGGAGCAAATTACCTGCAACGAGAAAAAGGAGACTGTCAACACTTATTAGTATGGTTGTGTGGTGAAGGACAAGTGACCTGTTGAGGGTGACCACCGTCACACAACACACTCACCAACCATCAACAGTAATATTGTCCTGAAGATAGATTAGGACTAATGTAAACTCTTGGTGTATACTTGGCCTATTTATTATTGTGAAAATAATACACAGTGCATGTGTGTGGCCACCCCATCATCAAGGACATGTGTGTGTGTGTGTGGGGCCTCCCCATCATCAAGGACATGTGTGTGTGTGTGTATGGCCACCCCATCATCAAGGACATGTGTGTGTGTGTGGCCTCCCCATCATCAAGGACATGTGTGTGTGTGTGTGGCCACCCCATCATCAAGGACATGTGTGTGTGTGTGTGGCCTCCCCATCATCAAGGACATGTGTGTGTGGCCACCCCATCATCAAGGACATGTGTGGGTGGCCACCCCATCATCAAGGACATGTGTGTGTGTGTGTGGCCACCCCATCATCAAGGACATGTGTGTGTGTGTGTGTGGCCTCCCCATCATCAAGGACATGTGTGTGTGGCCACCCCATCATCAAGGACATGTGTGTGTGGCCACCCCATCATCAAGGACATGTGTGTGTGTGTGTGGCCACCCCATCATCAAGGACATGTGTGTGTGGCCACCCCATCAACAAGGACATGTGTGTGTGGCCTCCCCATCATCAAGGACATGTGTGTGTGTGTGTGGCCCCCCCATCATCAAGGACATGTGTGTGTGTGTGGCCTCCCCATCATCAAGGACATGTGTGTGTGTGTGTGGCCACCCCATCATCAAGGACATGTGTGTGTGTGTGTGGCCTCCCCATCATCAAGGACATGTGTGTGTGGCCACCCCATCATCAAGGACATGTGTGGGTGGCCACCCCATCATCAAGGACATGTGTGTGTGTGTGTGGCCACCCCATCATCAAGGACATGTGTGTGTGTGTGTGTGGCCTCCCCATCATCAAGGACATGTGTGTGTGGCCACCCCATCATCAAGGACATGTGTGTGTGGCCACCCCATCATCAAGGACATGTGTGTGTGTGTGTGGCCACCCCATCATCAAGGACATGTGTGTGTGGCCACCCCATCATCAAGGACATGTGTGTGTGGCCTCCCCATCATCAAGGACATGTGTGTGTGTGTGTGGCCACCCCATCATCAAGGACATGTGTGTGTGTGTGTGTGGCCTCCCCATCATCAAGGACATGTGTGTGTGTGGCCTCCCCATCATCAAGTACATGTGTGTGTGGCCTCCCCATCATCAAGTACATGTGTGTGTGTGTGGCCACCCCATCAACCAGAACACATACGTGGCCATGCCATAATTTATAACATATAATATGTTCAAGTTATCAACACACCAACGCGCTTCCACAGCGCTCATGGCCGCACTCGGAACAGGGATACGAGCAACCATCCCAGGAACCCTGGTATATAGGTGTCACTCTCATGCCTTGTTGGTGACTCCCCGTGCAGGCCAGAGGGTTATTATATATGTCACCTGCATGTAAAGCACTCTTCTCAGTCTCTTTTGCCTGGATATTGACAATTTCGTACCCCTCCCATGGCTATGTATTTTACACAGAACGGAATTCTACTGAGTCTGGCATGACGCTGGAGGGGGGGGGGGGGAGGGGGCGTTTCCAGGAAGAGGTTAACTGAAAGGAGTTCCAGAGCCCTAAGGGCTGTGAGAGGCAGCTAAAAATATACCAGACAGGAGGTCTGGGAGAACCTCAGGGGCCCAGGACCTGTAGAACCATTCAGAACCAGTTGGCAGTAACACTGGAGACTATATTCACCTATCCAGATGTCCCTTAACCCACAGCGGCATATACTGGTATGATTTAAACGCATTAATGTGCTGTATCGATTCCTTTGGTCCCAGGTTAAAATTTATACTGTAATTCCTCAGCAAATGAGAAAACAATCTAGCAGAGATGACTTGTAAGGGTTACATACACTAGTGCCGATTGAATTTCTAGTACGGCAGTAGACGAGTAGAACTACAATAACAGCTGTTGGAATAACAGCCACAAACTATTGCAATTACAGGGACACTACTCCACCTGTTCAACAAATCACTCCTAAGTAAAGTGTTGCCCACACAATGGAAACACGCAATAATTGTTCCCATACAGAAGCCCAATGACCCTGGCAGTTACAGAGCTATCAGTCTCGTGTCATGCACATGCAAGATGCTTGAAAGGATCATCCTAAACCGATTGTTGCACAAAATAGACAGGCTAAGGGAAGGGGTCAAGGGATTTGTTAAAGGACGGAGCACGGCAAATTGTATAGTTAATTACTTGGCTAATGATGCAGCTAAGTATTCTGTATTTGTTGACATCAAAGAAGCCTTCGACAAAGCACAGGGGATTGCGATCCTGGACGAGCTTGCATGCATGGGTGTCAAGGGGAGACTCATGAAATGGATTGAAGACTACATCATAGAGAGGAAAGCCGAGGTCTGCTTCAACGGAGCACTCTCCAGAACAATGAGTATGGAACACCGGACCCCCCAAGGAGGGATCTTAAGTCCCTCACTATTTCACATGCTTATGAACGTCATTGCAAATGTTGAATTTCCGGAAGGAACACAACAAGTGGGATATGCAGACGATGTCCTAATACAAGCTCCCACCTTGGGAAAAATTAAACAGTCCATTGAACTCCTTGGAAGAAAATGTATTGAACTCGGTTTCACTCTCTCTCTCTACAAGACAAAAACATACTCTCATCACAAGCGGGAAGAAAATGAGAAACTAAAAATTAATGGTGTAACACTTGAATGGGTTGACCACTATCGGTACCTTGGCGTCACTGTCGGCTCTAACAAGGAGAAGAAAGAGGAGCTCAACCAGCCCATGGGAACATGCACAAGTCGACTCAGGGCACTGCAAGCTATGACCTGGAATGGACATGGAGCCGCAATTGCCGTACTTAAAATGATGTACACAGCCTATGTGCGCTCCGTCATACACTATGCCGCACCAGTTTTATGCACCTACTCCCAAAGCAAGACGAAAAAACTTGAAAGCATACAAAATGAAGTCATGACAATCATTCTTGGAGTTCCAAAAACTGCCAAAGAATCTAATCTACGAGAGGAGTTGTCCCTCCCAAGTGTTAAAAGCAGAATTATGGAACTGAATGCTAAGCTTGCAATTAAGATAGCAAGAGATTCTCATTACAGTGACATTGCCAAGAAAAAACTGAGTTCTGTGCTACTTTCAGGAGGAAACAGGAGAAGCAAAAAGTGGCATCACAGATCAGTCTGCTACCTCGAAGAGCTTCACCTGCTTGAACAAGCCCGTGAGCTCCTCCC